TGGGCTACGACCCTCCCTGCCCTCCCTCCCACCTCGCCCAGGCCACACAGTTTGGTTCACCCAGCTGTTTCGCTCAGCCGTTCTGGCCACATTTCCTGTGGTCATTCTGGACTCTCCTCTTGTCTCCTGTACCACGTCCAGCCCCGCAGAAGATCCACTCTGCCTGCAAACTGTCCTGGACCCCGCCTGCCTCTGCCTCCTCGACTTGCCTCTGTGGCCTGCATGGCCCTTCCTGGGTGTCCTTGAACCTGGTCACCTGTAACCTTGTCTCTGCTGTAGTCACTGGCTTGGCCATCCTCAAGTGCACTGACCTTCTCACCCCAGGACCTTGACCCGCCCCTTGTCCATGTACCGCACACTGGCCAGGTTCTGTGTGGCTCCGTCAGGCCCGGGCTCTCTGTCCTCGTGGCCTTTCACCCTCCTTTCCCCGATGCTGTGCACCCCTGAGGAGCAGGACTTTACAGCTTCCCTTGCCGGGGCCATGAGGACCGGGGGCCATCAGGACCGGGGGCCCATGAAGACCGGGGACCCTGAGGACGGGGGGCCCATGAGGACCGGGGGCCCATGAGGACCGGGGGCCATGAGGACGGGGGGCCATGAGGACGGGGGGCCATGAGGACCGGGGGCCATGAGGACCGGGGGCACACCCCCACGCTGCTCCTCAGTGACACCCAGCAGCACTTCTGGCGGCAGCAGTCCCGGGTGCCGTGCACAGGGACAGCTCCTCCTCGGTTCCCTCAGTGTGCGTCTGGCCTGCTTTCTGTGCGACACTGTGCTGGTCCGCCTCCCGCGCGGAGCCCAGCGCCTTGATGCAGCTGCCAGAGGCCAGTGTGTGGGCCCGGGACGCACTGCCAGGCCCCTCAGTGGTCAGAGTCGGGACACGTCACGGGTCCAGTTCCAGCTGAGGCCTTGGGTTGTCCTGACCTCACTGATCTAACACGGGTCCTCGGCCCGAGCACGGTGACAGTCTGCTTTTCCCCTCGGATGGCACGGCAGTCCCCGCAGCACCCTCTGGAACACCTGGGGGGTCGTCTGGCCACGCTCCGGTGGCGGGGGGGCTCCATGCAGCTTCATCGCTTTTGCTTTTGGCCTTTTGAGAGCATCAGACGTTTTTGCATTTGCTGTGGAGGTTGGGAAGGAATGTGCCCGCAAAGTCAGATCTGCGTGTTAAGACAGTTTGAAACACTTGGCTTGGCCCCCACCCCAGGCACCTCTTCTTTGTCACTTTAAACGCGGCCAGCGGGCCAGTGGGAAGGTCTGTAGTTGGGAAACATGCTTGTCTTCAGACAGTGACAAAACGCCGACTGGCAGACGAGCTGGAGAGTCACTGATGTGGCATCACCTCCGGGCACTTGCTCCCCTGATCCCACGTGGCCTTGGGGGCCCCATGACGGCGGGGCGCAGGTGGCAGTGGGTGAGCCTCCGTGTCTCATCCTGCAGGTGGAGAGCGAGAAGCAGCCAGAGCACGAGGCGCAGCGGCTGCGGGAGCACCTGGCCATGCTGCTGGCCGTGCTCCTGGAGGCCGGCGCGCTGGGCTCGGGGCCGCAGCTGTGCCAGGCTGCGGAGCTCGTGCGGCGGTGCGAGGCCCTGGAGAGGAAGACGGCCACCTTCGAGAACATCGTCTGCGTCCTGAACCGGGAGGTGGAGAGGGTCGCCATGACTGCCGAGGCCTGTGGCCGGCAGCACCGGCTGGACCAAGACAGGATCGAGGCCCTGAGTAACAAGGTCCGTGCTCGGGACAGGGCAGCGCCTCGTCTGGGCAGGTTTCAGGGGTCACAGGTCTCGGAGCTTCGGGTCTGGGGGCCGCGCCCTGGTCTCCAGCATGCATCCGCTTTCTGCCTCCGCCTCTGCGCAGAGCCCTGCTCTGAGCCCCGTTCGCTGATGGTCCCGGCTCGGGGCAGAGGCAGCCGTGCAGCATGCGCCTCGCCCTCTACGTGGGTGCTACACACATCCTGGCACCAAGCCCTCAGTCTGGGCGGGGCCCCATGGGGACAGAGCCGACCTAGACAGGCTGAGCCCGCGGGGCCGGTGGGCACGGGGTGGTTTCGGGAGCACCACACTGCTGGTAGGGAGGTGGACCCCGGAGTCGGTGAGGAGCCTCCACCCGGCCACTGCAGGGCGCGTCCTCACGGGCCCCGCACCCCAGGTGCAGCAGCTGGAGAGGAGCATCGGCCTGAAGGACCTGGCGCTGGCCGACCTGGAGCAGAAGGTCCGCGACATGGAGGCGGCCACCTTCGACGGGGTGCTCATCTGGAAGATCCCTGGCTTTGCCAGGAAGCGCCAGGAGGCCGTGGCAGGCCGCACGCCCGCCATCTTCTCCCCAGGTACCGGTCTGCGACACGCCCCCAAGCTGCTGCCATGCTGGTGCCCAGGTCCTCCGCTGGCTGGAGTCTGTGCCCAGCGGACGCCAAGAGTGGCTGCACCTCCCCGAGAGGGTGAGGGACAGCAAATCCTTTCAGGCACCGGTTCCTCGTCCCCTGCGGTCACCATGCTCCGTCTCAGCGCTCGCCTTCACTGCCTTTGCTGGGGGGCCGCTGGGAGGGGCAGCTGCACCAGGAGGACTCCCCACACCAGCTCGGGCCGGGCTGCTGGCTGTTTCTCACACCCCTTTTCACCACCAGCTTGTGGGGCTCCTTATGGGGCTCTCACCGTCCCTTCTGGAGGACACTCTGCAGAGGGAGGCGCGTGGTGCCCGTGCTCCTGCCAGGCTCGTCCCAGCCTGGGCCTTCCCCACAGGTCGACGCCGGCACTGGTGACGTGCCGCGCTTGACTTTAATTTTAACGTGAACTTCAGGGAGCCTGCTGGTGGAATCGGGTGTTCCAGGGTCCGGGCCCGAGCAGGTGTAGGCTCTTCTGGGGTGAATTTATGGAGCAGAAAGGGATGGTGGTGCCGAGTGTGGGGGCCGCAGGCAGGCCTTGCCGTCCCAGACCCGCTGCCGCCTCTGTGGCACGCCCTAGACGGACGTGCAGGCTCCCCTGCACCGACAGGAAGTGTGGGAGCAGGTCGCAGCCTGCGAACTCGGCTGGCGGTCCGCGGACAAGTCCGAGTGCAGGCGGGGTGGCCCCGCGAGGCGCTCCCGGGGTCGTGGGTCTGCTCTGGCATTGGCTGCTTGGCCTGAGTGGCCTGGCGCCCTTGGGCATGACCTGGGCAGGGAGCTGAGGGAGGCGGTTTCTGGAGGCGCGAGAGCCGGCAGCAGCGCTGCCATCGGTCACCTGTGCTCGGTGCGGCGCCTTGTCGCTTAGAAAGCAGCAGGTGCCACGTCCCCGTTGCTCTTCCTGCACCCCCGCTGGGCGTCAGGCATGGCGTGCGCCCTGGCCGCCACCCGCTGTCGGCCCCTCATGGCGGGCAGAGCCCATGGTTCCCACGCGTTGGGCCAGCCACCCTCAGAGTCACTGCCAGTTCACGTGTGGCCAGTTTGGGGTACACTAGTTTCTTAGAAAGAAGACTTGTTTTTGCTAGCAGCTCTCTGCGGCCCTGGCCGAGCGCCATCTTAGTGGGGGGAGGTGGCTGAGCAGGCGGAGCCCCCATGGGCCCAGGTTCACCGACGCCTCCCCCGCAGCCTTCTACACCAGCAGGTACGGCTACAAGATGTGCCTGCGCATCTACCTGGACGGCGACGGCACCGGGCGCGGGACGCACCTGTCCCTCTTCTTCGTGGTGATGAAGGGCCCCAACGATGCCCTCCTGCGGTGGCCATTCAACCAAAAGGTATGCGAGCCCCACCTGCGGTCCTGTCCCAGGGAGCCCTGTGGGCTGGCTTCTCAGTGCCTGCGACAGCGCTGGTCACCACCTTCACAGCCGCTCGTGCCTGGCAGAGAAAAATGTTGCTTTGGAGAGTGTTTCAAAGGCAGGAGCACAGCTGACGGGTGGTGACCTGAGGTGTCGCGGGCCCTTTGAAAACCAGAGTCCGCTTCAGGTTGAGGGGTTGAAGACGTAGGGACTAGTCAGCATAGAAATGTTCTCTCCTTTCACGATGTGGGGCAGCCCTGCGGCCCCCACAGTGCAGGCTTCCCTGGAGACGTCTGGTCCTTGGGGCGGGGCCACAGGTGCTCCACGAAGGGTCTGTCAGGTGGACGCAGCTCCACAGCACCAGGCGTGCTCAGGTCCCAGGGCTCCATGACAGAAAATGCTGGAGTGGGCGTGGTCATCCAGAGGGGCTGCCACGCAGTGGGGGGCGGTAGGCTCACAGTGGCAGGTGGGGCTGGGACTCAGTGTTGCCCACTCCTGGGCACTCCCTTTCCAGGTGACCTTAATGCTGCTTGACCAGAATAACCGGGAGCACGTGATCGATGCCTTCAGACCCGACGTGACCTCGTCCTCGTTCCAGAGGCCGGTCACTGACATGAACATTGCCAGTGGCTGCCCCCTCTTCTGCCCCGTCTCCAAGATGGAGGCTAAGAATTCGTACGTGCGCGACGATGCCATCTTCATTAAGGCCATCGTGGACCTGACGGGACTCTAGCCACTTCCTACTGGACTTGGGGATCAGGGGCAACCTGGCCAGCGGCTCGGCGAGGAGCCACCATGCTGGGCCTGAGCCTCGCTTCGGCCGGCAGGTGCCAAGTCCACGTCACATTGGGAAGGGCCGCCTCCATGAAGACGGTGCTCAGCCGCAGGCCTGGCCGTGGGCGCGCGGTGCCTCTCAGAGCTCCTGGCGTGCAGCGGGGTGGCTGGCCTGGCGAGCAGAGGGGCAGTGGGGCCGCCAGGGGAGGGCCGCCCCATCCAACACAGCACGGAGCCCCTGGGCCCACCCTCAGTCCCTGGAGAGAATGGACGCTGTCGGGCCTGGCTGGCTCGGAGGGGACCTGCTGTGCCAGCCTAGCCAGGCCAGCAGCGGGGAGGTGGTTCTTGTCCTGGGAGCACCACATGAGCCGCCCCTGCAGCTCGAGCAGGGCGCACATTCGGCCTCCCCGTGAGGCGTGTGTCCGCTGCCCTTCAGACCTCGGAGAGGTCAGTATTAAATCATTGAACGTCTGTGGCGCGTGGTGTCCAGCCTTGGTGGTGGCGGCCCCCTGCAGGTGCCCAGCCCACCCCCGCGACCCCAGCTCCCCGAGTCGTTATGTGGGTTCCCTGGCACGCCAAGCTCATGCCTGCGGGCGCGGCGAAGCCTGCTGTTTCCTCTTCTGCAGTGTGCTCGGCTGGCTGGCCCCTTCCTCAGGCCTCTCCAGGGGCTGCCTTGACAGCGGCACAGCGCATTTTCCTCCTATTCTGGGGCCCCTGTCCCCCCATGCAGGGACCCCCGGCCCTGGAAGAGTGGCCAGAGGCCTCGTTTGCATTTGGGGGTCTGACGAGCAGTGCTGCCCCTTGGAACCGGGACTTGTCTGGGCAGCAGCTCGTCCCTTCATGGCCGGTGGTCCTGGCACTGACCGTGGTGGGCCCAGGTCGGGGCCTCAGTCCTGTGCGTGAGGACGGGGCAGGCTTGACTCGGGAATCCTGGCCGGGTGCTGTCACCTGGCTGTACTGGTGGCCAGTTTGTCTCAGGATCGGTGAGTCTCAGGGTCTTCAGAGAGAACCCACGACACGTCTCACTGCCCTTGGCACCGCCACTTACTCGTCCAGTTTGAGAAAGGACAGGAAAGCACAGAGACGGAAACGAGCACGCGTCCTCCTGGGATCCACGCGTGGCGGGCGTGTTTCCGCTGTGCGTAGCGCTTCTGATCAAAGACGTGGCAGAGAAGTCGAGGTCCCTGTGTTCTCTCCTTTCCCTCGTCACCTCCCGAGCTCTGCTAGGTTCCGTCCTCACAACTTGGTTCCTTCGCCATGTTGTAAGTTTTCTTTTTGTGTTTCTTGGTCCACAAGCAGGACTGCTGCGTTTTTAAAATGTTGTAAGCCTCGTACTGAGTCATCAGTGGATAGCTGCTTTCCACCCGCCTAGGCTTTGAAACCTGGCACGTACCATGCAGTGGGGCCAACCACTGCTGGCACCCACCATGCCGAGTCCCCTTGCAGATGGCACCCCGGCCCTGGTGGCAGTGACTTCCCATGCTGCCCTCCTGAGCGGGAGGGCGGGAGAAGTCCTGGGGTGCCAGCCGCCCCGCTGGGGACTTGGGTGCGAGCAGGCGGCCGGCCTGCCTTCTCCATCTGTCTGCTGGGTTGCCGGTCCTGTTGTCCGTTGATTGGCAGAGCCCCTGACGTTTGCGGATGCTGGTCCTCGGCGGTGCCTTGGCCTGTGTTCGGCAGGGGCGGGCAGTACAGTCAGTTGGGTCACCTTTTCCTTAACGATCGATGCTGTTGGCTGCTTACTCGAGAAACCCCGGCCTTCCCTGGGGGGAGGGGGCACCCTCGTGCTTTCCCCTAGCAGCTCACGTTCCGTTTCTAATACTAAGTTTCCACATTCGGAATTTGTCGGTACTCCGTGCGCGTGTGCGTGGAATGTGTGCGTGGTGTGCGTGCACGGCGCGCGTGCGTGGAATGTGTGCGTGGTATGCTGCACGGCGCGCGTGCGTGGAATGTGTGCGTGGTATGCTGCACGGCGCGCGTGCGTGGAATGTGTGCGTGGTATGCGTGCACAGTGCGCGTGCGTGGAATGTGTGCGTGGTGTGCGTGCGTGGCGCCTGTGCATGTCTGTGTGTGTGTGCAGTTGCGGCGGCGCCTGTGCATGTCTGTGTGTGTGTGCAGTTGCGTCAAGTCAGGTCGGACGCCAGGAAGATCAGTGAGTCTCCTTTCCCTTGAAATGAAGCAGCAGTGAAGCGAGAGGGGTGGGAAATTCGGACGCGGCCGCACTGGGGAGGCGGGCGGCAGCGGGGGCGTCTGAGCCTGTCTAGGAGCTGGGCGGCGGGCGGGCGTGGCGACCAGGCCGGAGGGCAGGGGCTGCCCGCTCACTGCGCTGGCGGGGCCGGGCTC